AGGTACTCACCAATTTTTATCGGGAGACGCTTCGCCCCGAGGTCCAACCCCTTACCCTTTTTTCACGAAAGAGGTACCCCTTTCGTACACCTTCTATTGACAAATGGCGCCCCTTTCACATATCTTGTTTTGAACTTTGCATCCCTTTTAACTGCTGTAAATACACTGTCGTTTAAATAGGAATCAATGACAAAAATAGAACGTTTTCTCGACTTTATAAGGCAATAAAATTGATCTGTTAGCCCTTTGGGCCCTTTCACAGACCCAAATGACAGATTTCCCTACCCTTTCGTATACTTCAACGCGTAAAATCCCTACCTTTTCATATACCTGTAGCCTGAAAAGATACTCCTTCGGGCGGAGCCTCTCCATATAGACCATTATGGGGGCCCCCCCCCCCCCCGGGCTGACAAACAAAAGTATTTTAAAACCAATCCAGTAAGGAAGCACAAACTATCAAATCCTCGGTCTGGCCAGTACCTTACGTATGCGAACAGCCATATCATCCCGGCAGTGACAGCCATAAACAGCTGTTTCCAGGCAGTTGTCATGTGTTTTCTGTGTGCGCTGTTTAAGGCTTGACTAAGAGCACATTAAGCTCACTGACCCATAGAAGTGTTCCATTGATTTATCCGTCTATTTGTGTGCAAACTGAAAACAACGCAAAAAAAATTTTACATTGTCATGCACCTCCTTCCATCGTCAACTGTTATGTTTTTTCAGTTGATTTTTGACGATTTCCATGTTTAGTCTCCTCTTCTACGATTAACATGAACAACAGATCAGATTAATACACCTTACAGTATGTAGAGCGACATATAGGCGAATCTTTGCTGACGTCACTGTTTACATTTTTCCTCATTATCATACGACTTAACTCATAGAAGCCGTGGCCATATATATGAAATAAATGCAAAAGTTGAAAGAGCTGATTAAGTTGAGCAATTTGTACAATTTTTAGTTCTTTGCAAGCAATATTAAAGGAAATATCACCCATGAAAAACTGCGAAATTGCTGTGTCAAAAAAGTTAGTGAGCCATACATTCTCTGTAAAATTTCGAGTTTTTAGTAGAGAATTTCTCCGAAACCATCAATTGTATTGGGCTCAAATTTTCAGAGATAACTGAAACTGTTATGCCCTTGCAATATTCAGAGTTTTTATGTTATTAGCGTCACGAGATGGTGATAAGCATATGTTAATGAGGCAAAAAGTGTAAACAAAGATTCGCCTACTCCGGGTAAAATGCCGGGTACAGTCAAACGTTACCTAAGTTGTGTTAGATCCGTAGAGTTGACAATAAAGCTAAGAAGTGCTCACTGACATGATTAATGCCAAACAAAGTTTGATAATGCTTAAGACATCTGAAGTGTTACTAACCACTTCGTTGACGGCACTTAAATGAGTTTTACTTTTAGTTCTGGCTCAACAATGCAAATACTATTGTTTACATCAACTATTGTTTACATCAAATAAAGAAGAAACGAATAACGTAGCCAAAATGATTCACGAAAGTTTATTTTCACTTTTTTAGAGCTTACCATGAATTACTCATAGTTAATAACACTGATATGATGTATGTAATTATCTTCTGTTTGAAACGGCGTGCACTTGATGAGCTCTAGTACTAATGACTGGAGCAATACTCACGCGAACCTTTATGGCAATAACTCATTATGGAAAAAATTGACATGTGAACAATACGCTTCAAATTGCGTAAACTGTGCGAATAGGCTACGCATTTTTATCAACTACCGATTGATTGACAAGCACGCAACTAGATATATAGAGGTGACGAATCAGCAAGTTGACACCAGTGTGACGGTTTCGGTCAGAGATTCGTTATGGCAAGTTCTGGGAAAGCAAGCTTTATAATCTTGTTTCTAAGCATAGTTTTAAAAGGAAATGATGTGGTGTTACCAGGAATAGCAGGTAAGAATATACTGTTTACGAGGTCGACTTAAGTAATCGCAATGCATGGCTCAGTCGCTCGATCACCGCAGTTCTAATCTGTAAGGCCAGTTTTAAGGGACTTAAAATACGAACGTATTTACATCAAAAGTTAAAGTAAAAGACTTTCATAGCTAGTATTTAATGTATGGTCAGGAAGTCTTATTTTATTTAAAGTAAAACCACAACCCCTAAGAAGCGAGATGTTTGGTTAGGCCCAACCGTAGTTTTTACAAACGTATCTTATTCCATGAAATAATAACATGCAATGAACAAGGAGCTTCTTCTTTGAGGGATTCATTTAGTTTCCTTTAATTATTACTCCAGTTGTTTCAAAAACGACGGAGGCCAAGGGATTGGACAAGGTTCTTGCTACTTCTTGAAAAGAGCTCACGAGTTGCGAAAACTGATAGGAAAGAACGCGCTCTCACTGTCTAATACAGGGCTGATAAAGGTTGGGAGATGAAACAAGCGCCCCGCTCTTCATTCCCGGTAATGTGTGATACGGAGTAGGACTGGCACGAGCGCTCTTTCCGCGCCTCCAGGCCGTGCGCTTGAGGGCCGACGAAATTTTCCTTTTTGCCAACAGGAAATTCTATTTCTTTTTGTAATTTCAGGCTACAGTGTTAAATAGATAAATCGTTTCGTAACAATTAATTAATAAACAGTTTCATATGTTTATATCTGTATCCCTATAAGTCAAACTTGTTGGTCGTTTAATGCCAAAATTTGAGTTTAATTTGAAAGTGTTGAATTTTCGCAACTTTGCGAAGCTTTATCTTCGATCGCTTGAGACGTATCACTTTCAAATTTGGCATTGTTACTAATATTAAGGCGCTCTTTCCAGCGGTGTCGACGGAGTTTCCCTAACTGGTCCATGTCAAAAGTTGAAAAAACTCGCGAAAAGGGTCTATTTATATTCGTTGACAATCAATGGGGACATTAAGACCAAAGAGTTTTCAGGCCTACATAATGGGTTAACTTACAAAAATGTTCGTAAGAAGTCCAGGAGGATGATTTGGATTTTAGTTACAGTTCACATTTTGCTGGCGAAATCCGAGAAACTTGTTGGTAGGAGAAGATGGCTGTCATCTTATGATAAAAATATTTTGCGAACTTTGGAAGACTTAATGTATTTTTTACAAGGAAGCTTATGTCACGCTTTTGCTCATGTGTAATTTGTTTATTACTCAGTAAATTAATGTGCAGAATTTTTTTCCCCTTTTCTGTAAATTGTTTTCAGAGGGATAAACAAAATTCAATATCCGGTCTTCAGCCACAATTTTAAACAACTCCGACTCTGCTATTAATAAAATTGGGATAAATTTTTACCGTTTTTGCTGTTAGTTTGAGTCGCCAGAAGATCAAGTTCCTAATAATTATTATTCCGATTTTTTTTTTCACGAGAGCGTTTTAACGAGTAGCGACTCCTGTGCTCCTCGCAGTAAAATTAACTAAGATAATGGGCATGAGGAGCCGCATAAAGTCCCTTTACTAACTATCTTGAGTGACGGTTGTTATGCTCAATTTCCTGTTATAATTTTACCTCCGATGTCGTGCATGTTAGCAGGGGCCAGACTAGCTGTCATCGATAGTGATCTTCACAGAGGTGATGAAACAATTCTAAATTTCGCAACTGTCTGTTAATATGGTTAAAACAATACTAGGTGGGGTAAATACATGTAAATAAACTCGAGCGCGGTCTTTTCAACTATTCTCCGGATCGGATCAGCCCGATCAAGCCATCATTGCATGGAGGATATGTGAGTTATTTTGTGCCGTATCCTGGTCGAGAATTTCTGTGTTGATTCGCGATCAAAATCATTTCCCTTACAAGCGATTGGTATTTGGAAGAACATTTAAACAGATCGGACAGGTTTGAAGAATTCAAGCTTCTCTTCTGAAAACCGGAGACGGCCAGCCTTCCTTCTTCGCATTGGTTCAAATGCGAGGCCAATTCAGCCTTAGATCAGCAGGTTTACGTTACGACACATTAATTCCGGTTTGTATAATGACTTGATTAATCGTAAGACTCCTTGAAGGTAAGCACAGTGTTCGATTCTTTTCCTTTAATTTATTTATTTCTGCTTCGAACATATGCGCGCCAAAACCTCCTAAATTCCCGCCAAATTGGCGGGCATTTAGCGCTCCCGGGAGTGATCGTACAGCTCGTGTTTAGGACGAACAGGCCCAGCACAACTTCCACTGGAGGCATCTTTGTGTTACAAAAAGTCCCTAATAAAGAAGTCCAAAAGCTCTATTAATTTCGTGCGACATTTCTTGATAAACAAAGGAATGTGTTGAAAATTATAAACGTCCGTGTTTTATAATACACATACACACGTAGCGGCCAAATTGCTATATCTTTGATCTTTTTTCAACTGTTTTGCTTGTTGTCGATGTTTAAATGCTACATCATGATCCAGTGCGATTTATATTTGTCACTTCACGCTCAGATCTTTGTTTCAATTAATGAGAAAATTATCTTACAGTTAAAACACTCTTTGCACAACAGTAAAGCCAGTATTATCGCGTAATATTGCGTTCCTGCATGCGTTCTCAACACAGCCGGACAGAGCTCTACCTATGAAAATAATCGCTTTCCTAGTATCGAATAGGCGAAAATGACTCCCACTGGTAGCAAATTGTGCTACAAAGCCATAAATAAGGGCTATTCCAAGTATAAACCTCATAAAAGCTTTTGATTTTGATCAAAAATGAAATAAAACGCGTTAAAAATATCAGACGCTAGTGTCACCCATACCCCTACCAACCTACCTAAGGTACTTCACAGAGACGGGGTTGAGTGTTAAGTTTGCTCGTTATTTGTAAGTCCCTAAATCTAAGTAGCTTTCTTTTTCTTTTAAAAATGTTTACGGAGGAATCGAAATGAGTTTTGGTTGATTGGTTGTGTCCATCGCGGCTCACCCCTATTTGTTTTTTTAATAAAATACGACCGCGCGAACGGTCTCTATTATTTTTCACGAGCAGAGAGCTTTAATATAATTCACCGAAAACAAATTCATGAATATGGTTCAGGGTATTCTGTACGTGCTTTTATGTTGGGTGTGTCGCCTGATTAAAAGCGAACGATCGGGTGAGTCGCCTTCGCTTAGTGCAAGAAGACTTTGTAAAACGTGTATATTAAATGAATCTTTCTGTAAAAAAACGAGGCCTTAGGAAAGCTTATAAAGTAAAATAGTCTTGGAAAACGGTTTGCCAAATACATTTTTCTTTTGTTTGGGACTTACTAAGATTGTATTTCAACTAGACGCTTAGAATTCGTAATTGAACTTATTCTTTGCGTGATTCAAAACAAAGCTAAACAACGACCAAAGTTCCGTCTGTACGTGCTCTTCTGGGTGAGTTGCCTGAAAAAGCAAGCGATCGGGTGTGTCGCCTTCGCTTAGTGCAAGGGAACTTTGTTGGTTATGGCTCGTGAAAAATAATAGAGACCGTTCGTGCAATGGTATTTTATTAAAAAAACAAGTAGGGGGGAACCGCGATGGACGCAACCAATCAACTAAAATACATTTCGATTCACCCGTAAAAAATTTATAAAAGATAGATCTAGAAATAGAAATTTCGGGGAAGCGGAATTTAAAGCGGGAGTATTCCCTTTTTTGAGAAAAGGCCGGTGAAGTCTCCTATTTAAATTCTGCTCCCCAGAGAAAGCTACTGTAAAAACTAATTTGAATTTATAGTTAATGTAAATTCTATCAAATTTAAATCTCGATAAATCGCTGCACTTTGTTCATCTTCGGTAAATGAATGCATATTGATTCTGAGGTATCCCCTGTCTGATAATTTGTGCAAAACTCCTCTACACCGCCACAAGTTTTCCAACTGATGCACTGTTTTGCAGCGATTTTCATTCTATCAGGTTCTTTTTTTTAGTTGTGTTCGTCTCATCAGCTTTTTAGTAGTGTCTGCTAAAATGAGCGGTTGAAAGATATGTCGGATAAAGCTTCACAGGAGGCCACGAAAGGAGATTCGCATTTCAGCTCAAGTATGTTTTCAAGCTGTCAACGGTCTATGCTTGGCTGAATTCAAACAATGGCCTTCTGGTCAGATGGGGGACAAAATTTCCCCCATATTTCGGTCGCTAAGGCTTGCGGCTCGCTATGTCATGATAACCGTCACGAATATAGAGACATTCCATGACCACTTTGCCCACTATGATAAAGTTACAGTAGCTGGTGTAGTTACTGTAGATGGTGTAGTTAGTGTAGTTGGTGTAGTATATGTAGTTGCTGTAGTTACTGTAGTTTGTGTAGTTGCTGTAGGTAGGTGTGGTATATGTAGTTGCTGTAGTTGGTGTGGTTACTGTAGTTAGTGTAGTTGGTGTAGTATATGTAGTTGATGTAGTTAGTGTAGTTAGTGTAGTTGGTGTAGTAAATGTAGTTGGTGTAGTTGGTGTAGTTGCCGTAGTTAGTGTAGTTGGTTTAGTTGGTGTAGTTAGTGTAGTTGGTGGAGTATATGTAGTTGGTGTAGTTGCTGTAGTTGGTGTAGTTAGTGTCGTTGGTGGAGTATATGTAGTTGGTGCAGTTGCTGTAGTTGCTGTAGTTTGTGTAGTTGCTGTAGTTGGTGTGGTTGGTGTAGTTAGTGTAGTTGGTGTAGTAGATGTAGTTGGTGTGGTTGCTGTAGCTAGTGTAGTTGGTGTAGTATGTGTAGTTGGGGTAGTTTGTGTAGTTTGTGTAGTTGGTGTAGTTTGTGTAGTTACTGTAGGTAGTGTACTTGGTGTAGTTATTGTAGTTACAGTAGTTACTGCATGCAATGTGTAGTTGGTGTAGTTAGTGTAGTGTGTGTAGTTGCCGTAGTTAGTGTAGTTGCTGTAGTCGGTGTAGTATCTGTAGTCAGTGTAGTTGCTGTAGTTAGATAATAGACAGATAATAATTACGTAAATCCTAACTTACGTGAACACCCAAAAAACTGTTGTGTGTGCCATCGGCGCTTTCTCTGTTTAATATATATATTTTTTATGTTGAGGGTGTTGTTGTGGTTGTTTGTTTAATGAAATAATGTTGCTTTGTTAATTCGGTTATTTTGAAATATTATCATGATAAGTGATTTCCCTTGTTATAAAGCTTTCAACGGGTAAAGATATTTTTAGATTTCTTTTGCCTTATGTTGGGTAGATGATCGCAGTAATAAACACCTCATCGTATATTACCGTTAAGTTTCGGAAAGTAGCGAGCCTCTCAAAGAAGCAAGCTTCAGAAAGTTGTGTTTGATTTCACAGGTGTTAGCAAATCACCATTATTAATTTCCTACAGCAACTACAGTAAGTACACCAAACTACACCAAACCACATCAACGTACACCAACTACACCAAATTACACCAAACTACACCTGCAACTACACCAAACTACACCAACTACACCAAACTACACCAAACTACACCAAACTACACCAACTACACACCACTACACCAAACTACACCAACTACACAAAACTACACCAAACTACACCAACTACACCAACAACACAAAACTACACTAAACTACACCAAACTACACCTGCTACAGCTACAACATCAAGTACAGCAATTACAGCTACTACACCAACTAAAGCTATAAGCTACTACACCAACTACACCAACTAAAACTGCTACAGCAGCTACAGTAACTACATCATCTACAGTAACTACACCAACTACACTAACTACAGCTACTACACCAACTACAGAAACTACACTAACTACACCAACTACAGCTACTACAGCAACTACAGCTACTACACCAACTGAAGCTACTACAGCAACTACAGCAACTACACATACTACATATACTACAACTACTACACCAACTCCATCAACCACAACTACTACACCAGCTACGGTAACTACACCATCTACAGCAACTACAGCAACTATACCAACTACAGCTACTACACCAACTACAGCAACTACACTAAGTACACCAACAACACCAACTAAGGCAACTACATCAACTACACAACTACACCAGCTACAGAAACTACGCTAAGTACACCAACTACAGCAACTACACTAACTACACGAACTACAGCAACTACGTATATACGCTAACTACACTAGCTACACATACCACACCAACTACGGCAGCTACACCAAGTACGGCTACTACAACAACTACAGCAACCACATTAACTACACCAACTACACTAACTACACCAACTACACTAACTACACCAACTACAGCAGCTACACTTACTACACCAACTACTCTAACTACACCAACTACAGCTACTACACCATCTATAGCGACTACTTTAACTACACCAACTACACTTACTACAGCAACTACAGCAACTACACTAACTACACCGAGTACATGTACAGCTACTACACCAACTATAGCAACTACACTAACTACACCAGCTTCACATACTACACCAACTACAGCAACTACGGCTGCTACACCAACTGCGGCTACTACGCCAACTACAGCAACTACGCTAACTTAATCTTGGAGCCATGTCTGGCAGCTGAAATTTAACACAGATAAATGCGAAGCGATGCGCATTTCTAAAAAAAATGATTACTCAAGTCCTCAATACCATCTATGTGGTAACCAATTAAAAGCTGTATCTGAAGTTAAGGATCTCGGAATCTATATTACTTCGAACCTGTCATGGAGTATGCAAGCTAACAAATGCGCAAATAAGGCAAATAGTGTGCTTGGATTCATTAGGCGAACGGTGGGTCCTAAAAATCCTCAGTTGTTTTCAAAACTTTATAAGAGTCTAGTACGTCCGATACTCGAGTACTGCTCTCCAGTTTGGTGTCCGCACCTTAAAAAAGACTTAAACACCTTGGAGAAAGTACAACGTAGAGCATCTAAATGCGCCCTTGGAAATATTGGGCAAGACATGCCTTACGAAGAACGCCTAAAGCTCCTTAAATGGCCATCACTTGAACAAAGAAGATTATTTTCGTCGCTTATCGAGTGTTATAAGACAATAAATAGACTTAATGGACTTGATCCCTCGGCATTTTTCACATTTGCACATGATTTTCGGCCCTTAAGAGCCAACCATCGTTTTAAACTTAAGCTTACATCAGCAACTTTAAATAGTTTTAAACATTCTTTTTTTATACGAATAATAGATAAGTGGAACAATCTTCCAAAGGAAGTTGCTGAGGCGGAGAATTTGAATATTTTCAAGAACAGACTGAGACGTTATCTTACAGATTTTCCTAGTGAACACTAAGTTCTTTTACTGTGTGATGTTTTATATACATATATAGTTACTATTTTAAATAGTTGTAAATAATTTATTTCTTAATGTATTTTATTATCAGGAGATAAACTAGAAAGGGATAACCTCTTTTATCTCCTTTTCACTTTCCGATTTGGATTTGTGAATAAACAGTTATTATTATTATTATTATTATTATTATTATTATTATTATTATTATTATTATTATTATTATTATTATTATAACTACACCAGCTACAGCAACTACACTAACAACGCCAACTACACCAACTACAGCAACTACACTAAATACATTAACTACAGCAACTACACCAACTACACATACTACATATACTACAACTACTACACCAACTCCATCAACCACAACTACTACACCAGCTACGGTAACTACACCATCTACAGCAACTACAGCAACTATACGAACTACAGCTGCTACGCCAACTACAGCAATTACACTAACTACACCAACTACACCAGCTACAGAAACTACGCTAACTACGCCAACTACACATACTACAGCAACTACAGCAACTACACCAACTACACTAACTATAGCAACTACGCTAACTACACCAACTACACTAACTACCTCAACTACACCAACTACATAAATTACAGCACTGACTACGGCAACCGTATTGGGCTAAGTGGTCATGGAATGTCTCTATATTCGTGACGGTTATCATGAACCCATTACCCTATGTCTATGTCTATTAGTCTACGCTCGTCCTTACTTTCTTCGGTTATTGAAGAGTTGGAAAACTGATGAAGACCTGCAGTACGCGGTCGATCAATATGACAAAGATCATAACTCGTTTTCCTGAGATTCCCTTGTTTCCCTTCTCTCTGATGTGTGGCCCATGATTTGATCCCAGTACACTGCCTCGCACCTTTTTGCTCGAACGCGCTCGTTTCATAGCCCAATTCTTTAGATTCTTCACATCCCGATAACTATAAAGAATGTACAGAGCTATATTATCTCATTCAGGAGAGAAAAAACAACGGAATGAGGACCTTCTCATCAGTCTTAACATAAACAGCCTGCAAAACATATTTGATGAGCTATAAGGCATCGATGATCACCTGGAATCGCACATTATTCTATTTCTGAAACCAAAATTGATAAATCACATTCCAGTTACCTGGGTACCACAAAGTCAGACATAGAAGAGGGTGCTTATGGAGGTACCTACTTCTAAGTTAACTACTATTTTTTTGGCCAATTCTCAGTTAACTACTAATTTTGGCTAGCTGTTAACTTTCACTTTCCTACAGGGAATATTATTCCGTCATAACCCGAATTTCTCTTCCTTCAGCAAGTAAATCACTTTTGGGGGTAGGCCCTACTAAAATCAAGGTATAAATTTACATGAACTCTGCCACTAGTGTTATTTATAGGTAACTGAAAATATAAGTCCTATAATCATCAATGTGACGCCGGCCTCATAGATCCAGACGTACCAGTCATGATCTGGTACTGATCTTCCCGACATGACCTTGCATGTCCTGCCATGAACTACTTCAAAGTCTCCTTCTTCGGCACTTTCATTATCTGATCGGAATCAGTCTTGTACTTATCTGGTTGCTGTATGTCCTGTATCTTGTTGTTGGCCTAAGTTTCAATCCATTTTTAATCCTTGCAATCCATTGCAACAGACGACGAGAAATATTATCAGTGCCAAAATATAGTCTTAAATACCAAACTGGACCATTATTTTTAGAATTCAATTGATGAATTCAACCACTTTTTGCACCGATGGGAGAGACATGGAGTGCTGACAAAGTAATGAAAGTATTTGACACGGGACAATTCGACTTTTCGTGAGTGTAGCCCACTTCGAACTCAAGGTTCTTTTAAGCGATTCCTTTACCGTGGTTCCAAAGTCTTGAGCGTACGTAGTTCAAAGCACTAAATGTTTTGTGTTGAAGTGAGAAACCGCGTGTAGGTTTTCCACCTGCGTTGTCAGCAGTTTTTTGTACCTCGATACAAATTTTGTCGACATCCTCTTTCTCGTCCCTCAATGTTACATTTTTCGCAGACGTAACTTTTTCGCGCATTTTAAAACCCTGATAAAAATATCCAAGGGTTTCAAAAAATAAAACTGACGAAACTGTTTCAGAAAGACCGGTTTAAACACGAACTTTCTTTCTATTAAAAATCTCAATAGTTAGAACTCCAACATCAGTTACAAAAATGATTTCTCGTAAGTACAAATTCCATGTACTTAAAAGAAAGATCGCTGATTTCTTTGAGCACTCAGAAATTCTTTTTGGCCAGATCAAATGCTAAGAGTCACAGCTTTTTTATTTAGGTAGTAATGTTCAACTTGGCGATCTTTTGGGTCCGAAAAACAGTATTTTCCTTTTCCGAACAGAGAAATCTTGTTAACATTAGAAGACGAATTATTCGTTGAGTTGTCTACAACCACCTCTTTGACGGACGCTTTTTTATGTCAGAAAATAGCATTTCTGTTTGCAAAACTTTGTTGCTTTCATTAACATTAATATAATATCACTTAACTGTTAACTTTTCATTTATCAGTTAACTACTAATTTTTTGGCCAATTATCAGTTAACTACTGTTTTTTTGGCCAAATATCAGCTAACTGTTAACCCCATTCGCACCCTCATAGAACATATAGTGTAAGTTATATTTTTAGCTATTCAACCTATTGCTTATTTGACCGTGATAAACAAATGCAAACAATATAATGATACTTGTTTCACCAAGAAAACCGCCTGAATGTAACATAAGCTTCTTCCTTAAGACTGCGTTCGGGTCTGTTGACATGTGAAAGCGGAATGCTGCATAGGCACCAAGGCGATTTAATGTACCTGGCCAATTCAATCACGCCATTTTTGTTGAGGGTTATCTAATACTCACAAATAGACTCCATTGGTGTTAGTGGTGATAAGAAGGGTGCCCTTTGGTACCAATGGCAGGATTGGTACCAATAGAAAAGGATGTCATTCCAATGGTTCTATTAGTAATATGCATCTCATTAACGGGACTTTTCTCATGTGGCCTGGCTGGGTACAGGGCTATTATGATGGTCCGTGGGTACCAATGGTTCGATTGGTCTATTGGTGAATATGCATCGCATTAAGGGGACTTAGATTATTTTCCATGTAGCCTGGCTGGGTAAGTAAAAGCGAACTTGCTTTCAAAGATGGCTTATACAACGAAGAATTCTTTTGACATGTTTGTATTTCGACTTCGCCGCTGTAAGCAATTACTGTTAGCGCTAGTTCAACCTCGCTTTGTAACTATTAGGGTGTTTCTACTTTGTGAGAGCGAAATTGTTTTGCGTGGTTGGCTTATAGAACGAGGAATCTTCATAATTTCAAGGCCTACTCTGGGACCTAAAGTCGCCTAAAGTCGCCCAAAGTCACCTTAAGTCGCCTAAAATCGCCTTAAGTCGCCTAAAATCGCCTTAAGTCGCCTAAAGTCGCCTAAAGTCGCCTTTAGTTTCCTTAAGTCACTAAATCATTCAAATCTTAACGAGGTTCAAATTGTCTTGTAGTTATTACTTTTTTAGTTTTCTATTTCCAGAATGCATGATTTCTCATAAAGTGTATAATAACCCGTGTTCAATAATATTAGCCACAGACCCACCCCACCCCCCACAAAAAAACTCCCACGGTGACTTAAGACCCATTAATTTCTTCTCCAGCCCTCTAATTTATACATTTAATTACTTTACACAATTTACTACACGTAATAATTAGTCGTAAGCAATACAAGAATAATCATTCCTGTATTGTTTATGCAAAAATGACAACATATAGTACACAACTTTATCCAGTCACTTGTACAGGTATTTTATTAATTTCATCCGGGAGGTTTGTCTCATATTTCTCAGTAAAAATATTGTTTAAAAAGGCATTCAAAGGTTCAAGTTCTAGCTAAACTACATTAAACAGTGTGCAAAGAGAGTAGACAGAGTAGTGTCCAGGCAATAGCCCTGGGGTACTGGATTTTATGATTGGGCTAGTGAACTGCGTTTTTAACTTGCCTGGCTGGCAAGTAAAGTTTTTTAGGGAATTCAGATTACAGAAGAACTGTAATCAGTCCCATTCATAAAAAAAATTGGGGTTAGTCAAAATGGCTTTCAGGCTAGTGTATGCTAGGCAAGCTGTAAAGCCGACTTTCTTTGCACCCTGAACAAAATATAGTTAAAACTCTTTTCTACTGCTTTGTGAGAGTCCAACATTGAAAGACATTTCAAGTAACTAAGATCAATACAGGTAGGTTGAAGGGAGAGAAAAAAACAATTATTGCCGCCACAACATTAATCTAAATTTTCTGGTAGTTAATACAAGTCTAAAGGTCAATCGAAAAAAGTGTCCATGTAAATTACCGACCCAGATTTTAAGAGCAACTAATGATAAGTTTTTTCTCCGGCACACAACCTCTGATCTGTATTTACCGTCGAATTATATCCATCTATCATTGACAGAAACACAATCACTCTTATAAACTTGAACACTTAGCTTAGCTTGTACAGTCGTCTCTTTAGGTCTTCCCTTCCAGACAGAAATTCAAGCTTTGTACATCGAAGGTGCGTAATACTGCTCTTTGTTTATGTTGTCGTGATTGCTCCCTGCCAAACGATTTGATGTAATCGATCATTATTGATGAAGAACGTAGAAAAGCGAAATAATACTGTTCTTTCCTCTACGTTATGGCCGCCCAGAAAGTAGTGTGTTTTGATCACGTGACTAACTGGTCTGGAGGCGGGGAGAGGGCGGGACCGAGAAACCATGGAAATTAGCTTGCGACTGCAGTGGAATTCTGGGAGAAGCAAAATGGCGGATAGAATGTTGTACCTCGCGTTTTCGTATAAAGATCTCCTTTTAAATGGAAATTTCTGACATAATAATGGAAACGTTTACACTTGGTACTGCCATCGGTTTAAACATGACGCATAATGCTTCCTTTTGTGCTGAGAGCGTAAACGCTGCCGCGTGGAACAGACCGAGAGAGGTTGGTTGAAGCTAAGCTTAGTTGTTTACGTTTCTGCTGGTGCATAAATGCACTCATGAAATCAACCCGACTGGAAAGTTTCCAGAGAGACCATGGATAAGAGAGTACGGTTCACTAGCGAAGCAAGTATTTGGAAGTGTTTTGTTTGACTGAGACAGGAAAGGAGCAATATATATACGGCGAGAACTACAAACTTTTTGTTTTGAATTCAATTGGAAAAACATCCTCTTAGCCAAACGTGTGGGGACAAACATTGGCAGAGCAACTGCCAAGACATACAATGGGGATCGTCATTTCCATAATGTGCGATATCGATAAGTGATTTTAGATGTTTTAAATTAATTACTTAAATGTTTGTTGTCAAATTATGAAAAAAAAGACATTTCAATATAAAGTTTTTGCTGCAAACCAGCTCACAGTATTTTACAGAGATGTATTGAAATACTCTACTTTTAGGGTTTTATTTTTTGGAAAAAGAAATGCAGGAACCATTGATTTTTTGTCCCTTATATTATGAAATAATGCATTTAAAGACCAAGAGAAAATTTACCCTTTTGGTTGCTTCTAACTCAGATTTTGTCTCTGCTAATGTAATACTAAACCAACACCCTTGATATTAGCCTGTGCCACAGATAGAACTAAACTCTGGGTTAAGTCCATCTGCAAAACAGTGGCAAAATCCTAGTTCTGGGCCCCCTGTGTGTGTATCAGGATTAGAGAACATGCCAGGACTGGACTGTTAAAAATGCCATTGTCCATTTGCCAATCATGTTGAAGGGGAACTCAAAATGCTGGTAATTCATTTAGTGCATCAGGGCCCAGAACAAGGATATTAGAGCTGCTTCGCAAATGTTACTAACCACGGTTAGAATACACCTGCAACACAAGCTACCTTGATATTTAATGTTCAAAATATTAGGTAGCTGAGATTGTTGAAAATTTGGAAGACTAATGTAGATGTCTTCAAGACTGAATTAACTTATGCTACAACATTGTGTCCCTAGAGAGGTAGTGTTATCAGATTTTGATTTTGTATATGTTGTAGTTCATTTTTATTTCAGTTAATTTTTATTTTTCCATCGTTACTGGGTATGGTTATGTATGCTAATGAATTTAAAACAAAGGAAAACCAAAAATTAACTGAAATTAAAAATTAACTGCAACATATTCACTAACATGAAACTCACCTAAATGTCACCTTTTTCTCCTTAAGTCACCTAAAGTCGCCTTAAATCGCCTAAAGTCGCCTTAAATCGCCTTAAGTCGCGCAACATTTTGGCCAAATTTTCCTAAAGTCGCCTTAAATCACCTTAAGTCGCCTAAAATTACGGCGACTTAAGGTCCCAGAGTAGGCCTTTCACATGGGAAAATAATCTAAGTCCCCTTAATGAGATGCATATCCACCAACAGAACCATTGGAATGACATTATTTTCTGTTGGTACCAATCGTACCATTGTGAAAGGTTTGAACCCAGGAGTCATTTCAAAACGTTGAGTTTGATCGTCCGGGTGAATGTAGTCCTGAATAGGACTGTTGTTGTTGACAGACGTTTCGACAACCTGTGCGGTAGTCATCTTCAGCGTCAAAGTGAGTTGTATCATGTCAGTTGATGGTATTATACTCTGGTTATTGATCTGATTGGTCAATTATGTCGCGATGTTATTGGTCGTCTGTCAGTTAAGCCGTGATGTTATTGGCTATGAAGACTCGTAATCAGTGATTGGTGCGTTTCGATCCGTCTATTGTCACAGTTAAACAGTCGTCTATTGTTAGTCAAGTTGTCAGTTCTCCAGTTGTTTTCTCGTAGTTAGTTTTGCTTGATCTCGTCAATAAGTCGTTTGTACGGTGCTGTAACTGTTGGCTAAATTGACTGGGACTCTGCGACATGTAACGTATTCTACAGACAACTATCAACGTCTTACTTTAGAAAGCTGGTTTACTAACTTAGAACAAACACCACTGAATCGTAGCCAACAGTTACCCGCGCCGTACAAACGACTTATTGACGAGATCAAGCAAAACTAACTACAAGAGAGCAACTGGAGAACTGACAATTTGACAATTATTTTATTATCGTTTCTATGGTTTCATCTTTCCAGGTGTCAATGGTGACATCTTCCGGAATCAAGACAACAATGCATGGTACAAAGCTGGCGTAAAGCTTGTCGAGGACAACCTTAAATTAAAAGCAAACAACAACACCGCCAAGAGCGCTATTTTGTTCCTTGGTGATGGAATGGGTATCACTACAATCACCGCGACACGATTCCTGGACGGACAACAAAAGGGACGCACGGGAGAGGAGAATGTTCTGAGCTGGGAAGTGTTTCCGTGGTCAGCTCTCGCTAAAACGTACTCAGTTGATGAACAAGGAACAGATTCCGCGAGCACCGCGACGGCATTCCTGAGCGGAATAAAAACCGATAGCGGTAAGTTTAAACCTTAACCGGGCTCTCAATTGTTATATTGGCGCCCAAATATATGGTCTTTCAGACGCAAGATTTTTTTGCTTGCTTGGTGTTGCGGAATTTAAAAATATATTTGTGTATTTTGCATCTAATCATTTTATGACAGCACAGTCCAAAACGCCTGGGAACAAAGTCCACGCAGCAATGCGAATCTCTCGCCGAGTGCGGAATATTGCAATGTATAGCTACCTCGATATACTGGTATTTGTAAGTGAAAAGCTCCCTTATATTATAATATTAAGGAATCAAAATCTGCCAGAGGCCTTATTCCTTGCAAAGGCCGAAGGCCTTCGTGTAGCGAGTTTATAATAGCACGTAACTCCCACGAGGATAGTTAAGAAAAGTGAGATCTTGCTTTGACCGTGTATAACGTTCATTTTGTCCTTACCGCTGCTTTTCTTCCTATTTTGCCTTATACTTTCTCAGGCGTTATCGGTGTAAGTTCAAGTGTTACACGATTTCAGTGCTCTTCGGTAACTGAACAGAGCAAAGCCGCCTCCATTCTCACGCTTGCTGAGAAGGCTGGAATGTCAACGGGAATCGTTACCACCGCACGAATTACACACGCAACTCCCGCGTGTGCGTATGCTCACTCAGCAAACCGCAATTGGGAAAGTGACGGTGATATAAGCAAGACTGTAACGGATGATGGGTCCAAGTGCAAGGACATAGGTATTGTTTAATAAAGTTGTATTTTACTGTAATCACGTTTGTTTTCACTCGTTAAATAACAAACATATAATTATACATGTATATGAGTTATGCTATTCCACTGCTGTTTGCTCTAAGAAGTTTTTGTAGATCTCTAGAAATCAAGGCGTGAAGAATTAAAGCAAAAAACTGCGCGCATGAGTTTTTACTTCATTGTTTAGCCACAGGGCGCCCACACAATCTGTGTCTGTGTGACCGATTTTTTATATTTTATAGTAAATGTACTGGATTAACCGTTTGCTTCACCTATAGCGGTACATCGCGAATTACGTATATAAATCAATGTTAAATAAACGTTGAATTACCTTGCCTTCGGTATATTGTGGTCATTTTTGCCAGGACCAGGGCTTACAATAGGAAGTTTAACAATTCAAACCCGAATCGTCTGCCCAGTGTAGTACGTTTGGTTATCGAGAGTAAAGCAAACAACAAATCAATTAGGGCACACACAAAAAAATGATTTTGCTGGTGCAATTTCAAATAACTCATAGTCTGTATTGTCCCGCAGTACGTTTACTGTTTGAGATTTACTTGGTATGCCAATTAATAATGCATTCATATCTTATGATGTGGTATTTATTATTTTGTATCTACTCACGGCATTTCACTTACAGTTTTTGACCTCTCCTATTTTATATTACTATTTTTATATTTTTATTTACAGCCTTGCAACTTCTGGAGTTTCCCTACGGAAATGGCATGGAAGTTGTATTTGGTGGAGGCCGCAGGGAACTCATGCATAAGAATCAGACAGATCCTGAATACCCTGATAAAAAGGGAGACAGACTGGACGGCAGAGACCTGATTTCAGAGTGGGTCAATAAATTCCAGAACTCGAAATACGTCTGGAACAAAAACGAGTTTGATCAAATTGATGTGGACAAAGTTGATCATGTGATTGGTATGAAATTTTTTATATATACCTGGAGTTTTGAAAACCGGGTTAACAAAAAAATTCAACTCATTCTACTACTTGGCAATTTTAAAACAACAAAAAATCATTCAAAGACCGATTAAAAGCCTTTATCTGTCGCCGGGCAGTAAGTTAGCTGTCCCTTGAAACATGCATTTCAACGAGACCAAATTTAAAATGACGCAAATTTTAGAACATTTATTCAGTAGTCTGACTCCGTGAGGTTTCAAACCGGTATCATTTCAGTCTAGAAATTTTTAAGTTAAGTGTGCTGGAGCCAAAAAGTGCCTGGTTAAGGCTTATATAACAACTTAAATAGTCATCAAAACACTACTTTTTTCGCGGTCCGATAAACGACAGGATTTTGCATGAAATAGAGAACAAACTGATCGAAACATAATACACAAATTATCACTTTCTTATCTGCAAAAACCGGCGTATGGTTCAAAGCCAAGAGCCCGCTGAAACTAGACCTAGATCCAATTTTCCTGAGTCGGAAATTGGTTTTCCAAGGCACAATCAGGTAAGCTAAACATCGACGAAACGTTTTTATGGCTGGCACAGAATATTTTGGTGCAACAACTCAACCACACGCGACCACATATAATGCTCTCCGCGAAACTTTACTGAAGGTGACCAATAACGAAATGTAAACCAATAAACGGCACCGAAACCAGCTTTAGGCGCGCACTGAATTCAAATAACTGTCACCTGTGTTAAAGAGAGAATTGTGGGTAAGGATGAAAAAAAAAACAAAGAGGAGGGAGGAGGGGGGGGGGGTTAGAAAGAAATTCTGTCTACAGCCACTTCTTTTAAAATCGCTAACCACCCCCCCCCCCACAAAAAGAAACACACACACACACACATAAGCAAACAACACAGAAATTTGAGCCTTGATCACTGCACCACGCGCACCCCACGTCACAACTAGATGACGTCAGCTGCGGACACCTAAGAGATCTATGGAAATATTCGCCACTCGTGTTTCTGCCTCGCTGTGCGATCAACGCTCGAGGCGCACGACAAATTTATAAGCCTCGTGAGGCGAGGCGCTTAACTCTGAATAGAAAAAAGGGTAAAATAAAGAAACTAACGAACTGAGTTAATCCTTTCATGGGCCAACTGGGTGGAAGGATAAGCACAATCATTGAAGCGACGTTTAACATAATCGCCTTTTGATAGTAATGTCTTCTGTGCTTTTCATATGTGAGTTAACTCTCAACGGGACTGAGTGGAGACAGACGAGTGATTAACAAATTAAATTAGACGACCGCGTAGCGGGAGTCTGATTCGTTTAATCAAGAGTATGATTACAGACCGAATTGGACGACACGAAGTTCTGTTATCAATTTATCATAACTTTAACACAATTTTTGATATATATATATATATAAGGCTCTTTTTTAAATAAACAAAATTACAGGATTTTCCTTTGCTAACAGTGAAAAAAAAAAGCCATTTAAGCGCGCGCGTGATGGCGCGCACTGTCCAATTACTTAGGCATGACGCGTACTGTCCTTTATTAAACTGTCCTATTAAGGCTGAAATCAGGGCAGTTGATAGCCAATCAGATTTGAGAATTTTGTTATAGTTGTGATCACATGAATTAAATTTGCAAAACAATGGAAAGATTCCCTGTATCAAAATCAGGTGGTGTGCGCACTACAATTGCGATGCATTGTGGATGCAGAATTTCCAAGATGGTGGTGTAGGTCAAGAAGTTCGTAGGTTATATGCTGAATCAAAATAAGGTTACTTTTAAGGATAGGAAAAATTCTAAGTGCAGATAAGAAAGTCGGTTTGCGAAGGCTTCTACTTACTACCTTGTTTCATTGTTTTCAAGGCCTATTTGAACCCTCTCACATGAACTACGAAGTTGAGCGAGCTTCTGACAAGGCCGGTGAACCGTCCATTGCAGAAATGACCGAGAAAGCCATTAAAATACTACAGAAGAACCCCAAAGGTTTCTTCCTGTTAGTTGAAGGTTAGTTGACAAGTCAAGAGATATCTGGCTAGAATATTAGTGAGCCTTATTTTTTTCTATGCCTTTTATAGAATCTTTTTTCAGGGAGAGAAAGTATTTTACATTGCTGTACAGGATTTTTAGTATCGCTAGTAGCCTAAATGAGCTATATATTTGAGTGAAATTCCACTACAAAATTTGTTTCTTGTGTTCTGTTTTAAGGGGGCCGCATTGATCACGGACATCACGCTGGCAGAGCTGTTAAAGCTCTTAATGACGCAATTGCGATGGATAAAGCGGTTGCTAGGACCTTGGAAATAGTAAACAAAGGTAAACTATTCTCATTATGATAAGCGTTCTTGATTAAATATAATGCATCTGAATTTTGGTTTTCGTATGAGTAATACCCATATGTGTGGAATACATGCAGTGCTTTAGAATTCAACCAGAGTTGGAACAGAGCAAATTCACTATTTCTGTAAAGTTTTCCTAACCCCTAGCAGCTCCGTGGGCCACTGTTCCAATTCAGTGGTGACGTATCATTCCTTTAGACTGAGCAGACAATCACGAACGGCCTCTTACACCTCCGATTTGCTTTCCATACTTCGAATCTTTAAGCCCCTTACTCAAACGTACCTATGCAGACTGACGGCCTGGTCACATTGAGGGAGGAAGATCCTACAGCTGTATGAGAACGAACAGCTTTTCGTCGGGTTTACATGTAGAAATTTCGGTACGTGTTGTTGCCAAGAAGAGAAGTTATTGAAGACAATAACAAACATGCAATCCTGGCCCTTCTGCTCTCCTTACCTGGGTGAACAACAACTTTTCAGCGGCAGATGACAGTCCATTACAGCTTGTAACTCCAAACGAAAATGTCGGCCTAGTATATTGCCGTGATTTACCCACTGAACGACCCGCCGCCATCATTGTCTAATTTGTCCCAAGTACTAGGATCTTCCTGGCAAAGGAGTTTATAGTGCAGGTATCTTCCTCTTGCTAGGATCTCTCAGCTCGGAAGATCCTAGCGCTAGGGACAAGTACAAACCTTTGCATGTAAACTGAACATCGCGCACACTTAGATAAAGCGAGAACGTTTTGTATCACGGGCTATTCCGAGAGTTATTAAACAATCCTCACATGAATGGCTGTTTATAATGCCGTCTATCCCTTTGATGCCGGAATTTAGGAGGTTTTTACTCTTTCAGGGCATGGTGTCATTTAACTCCAGTTCCATCAATCTCAGAATTTGTTCACTACTGTTAAAATGCACATTTGCTAATCATATTGGCTATTACCTGGATTTTTTAGACGAAACACTGATAACAGTAACAGCCGACCACTCTCACGTCTTTACCATCGGAGGATATCCTAAACGTGGGAACCCTGTGTTTGGCATAATACAAGAGGTAGACAATGCCTTAGCTGTTGACAAAGACAACAGAACATACACCACCCTTGGGTATGCAAACGGACCAGGTGGACTGAACGGACCTCGTCAAGACCTGCGCAATGTAAACACCTCTCACAAGGAATTTCTTCAGCAGGCTACAGTTCTTACCGGAAGCGAGACTCATGGATCAGAAGATGTTGGTGAGAATTGGCCCAAACTTAGAACTAAGCTTAGAGCAGTATCTTTATTAACATATTAGCGGCAGCATTGCTTATTGTAGTCTCGTGCTAAAACTCGCTATTGTATGGATATTGATGATTTTTCTGAAGCAGTCAAGCGACTATAATGGATCAGAGAGTGAATCTTAGGGCTTTGGCCGAGATATGTGATTTTCACTGATAATAAGTAATTTTCAGAGTCTGCAATTTAACGGAAGTCTTATTCCTGAGAAGTCCGCACATATCCTAAGGGCTAGACTGGGCGTTTCCCTCACTGTCCGATTATTCTCTGCTCCAATTAAAACTTAATTATTGTCTTCTTTTAATTCTACTTCTACAAGGTTACTTTGCCTGCCAAGATAAATCGGGAGAGGACCTCTCACAGGCCAGCCCGGCGTCCAAAAAGTAGGGGGCTTGGCGTCTTGGTCGGTACAGCTGGATAGCCCAGGGACTGCTCTAACAGTGGGTGGGTGGATCAGGCCTTGGGGTCAAAACTAGTGGGGTAGGGAGGGGGCTGTTTTGACACAACCCCTTCAGTAATCAGCAGTGTTTAGTGGAGGCTTTGACTGGCGAGTACCTTGGTCTTAATTTGCCCTAGCCAGCTGAATCAGGCCTCTGCCGAGAATGATTATCATGATAATTACAAAGCTCAGTGGGAGGTGCAGACAGTCACCCATTGTCCTGGATGAGGAGGGTCAAAGTCTTGGTACCAAGGACACGCTTAGCATAGGACCTTTAGACACTCAGTGAAGCCATGTTTTCATAAATCCAGTCAGATATATGTTGTGAGATTGGGTCGCAAGAGGGTGATTACCATCATTTTGTTTTTTTCTCCTTTTTCGCAGGCGTATTCGCGGACGGTCCTGGGGCTTACCTATTCCATGGTGTAGTGGAACAGCAGTACGTATTTCACGTGATGGATTACGCCTTGTGTCTCAGTGAGAGCAAGCAGAAATCATGTGAAAAACACGTGAACAGAGGAGGGAAGCCTACGAGCAAAAGTGGAGCGTTGTCTTTGTCTGTCCACTCGCTCTATTCTTTACTCCCGATTGCGATCTCTTATGCTGTTCTTGTAGCGCTTGAGGCATAATTAGTCAACATATTGGCATCCTTTTACAGGAAAATGTCGAGGAATCGACAGATCTAAATCATCTTAAAATTCATTTCTTTTTTTTGTTTGTTTCGTTTTTGTGTGCTTTAATTTTGTTACAGGAAGTTAGTGTTCAGTTAGAGCCCAAGTTTTAAAAACCTGGTTTGCAACAAAATAATTAAAATGAATAGCATTTTCAACATGAATTTTCATTTGTTTACTTTCTGTTAACTTACAATTTAGGATTGCTTTTGTCCTTTTTGTTCATTTTGCATGATAAAAATCATCGGACACCAACATACAAATAATTTAATTTATCCTTGTCATAATTTAAGAAATATTCTTACTGTATAATTACCTATAACGCGAGTTCGGGACCGGCCTGCCTCAAATTTGTCGCATGATGCCCTACGGCCCAGCACTCTTTGGTCATTTCAACAGAGTCCACTGTCTCGTCCATCTCACCACCCCTGCCATAGACAGCTGACGTCACATTCCCACAGTTATCGCCATCAGTAAAATACAGTCATATTTCAGTTTGGGTTTAATTTGGCTACCTCACTCAGGGACAATACAGTCGGGGCTGTTTAGATCAAAATGGTGCTCAAATGGCTCCAAAAAATAGAGGCTAAATATGACTTTGGCCTGCGGGACTAAATTGGTACCTTTGGGCTGAAACAGATCTTTTGTAATTTACACTTTATAAAAGCCTTCTACACCTGTATCAATTCATCATTTTTTCAACGTGAGAATTCCTTCTGACGGGAGCATATTGTTCTAAGCAGCCACATGTGCTGCACTCTTGAGTCAAGCCTTTCCCGTTTTGATTAATTCTTGGAACACGTTTCAACGCAAATTGGTTTCTCCTACCGCTGAACACTTTCCGCTTTGTTTTTTTCAAACTTGCGTGCTATCTTTGAGAAGCTCTTCAACTGTGCTGAAATACGGATTCAACTTGAATCTGAAAATTCATTTTCAAGTTCTTAGCTTTAGCCTAAAGAAGTCATTCTCAGTAAGTTGTCGTCGATTAGGTTTTGTAAGGATGACAACAGGCTGTTAGACCTCGGAAAATTTTGATCCGTTCTCGAAAGCTCAAGGGCGTTTGAGATGAGTCTTGAAGACACATCTGTTAAGATCTGTCAAGAAAGAAATCTCTCTAGGTTCTGTATTTCAGTGCTTAAATGCTACAGGGTTTCAAAACAAAAAAACAAACCTACATTCAACACGTTTCTAAAGTCTCAAGGCATCACAACACCAGCAGCAACCGAGCACTCATGGTATTGTGGGATTTCTTATATGAATATTTCCAGTAAATAAGAGCATTACAAAATGTCCGATGTAAAACGAGAATGAAACCTAAATACTGGATAAAGACTACTGGAGACTGGAATCAGCTCCTCCCGATATGCCTCGTATTTCGTCCATTGAAGAATTTCAGAACTACCTTAGTTCAGTTTCTTAATCATTCCTATTTATTGTTGCATATAATTTTTACTTTCATATTTTGTAAGAGGTTGGTGGGTTGCCTAACCGGCTTTTACCATCCTAATCGAGATGATGATGATAATGGTGATGATGATGATGATGATGATGATGATGATGATGAGTATCAAGTTTAGTTCAGCTTTAAGAAGCTCCACCAGAAACAAAGTTCAGTCATATCTTTGACATCCATAATCATCAATCGTTTAGGAAGTCCAATCGTTGAGTTGCTCTCGGGCTTGGTCTTAGCATAACTGAACTTGGGGTAACTGTCTGCCGGACTGGAATTGGGCTAGGAATTTGCTGAAGTAGCGCTACAGAAGAAGCAGGATTCCTGAATTTCTGTTCCTCTATGCTTCCTTCTTCCTGGTCTACGCCCTGCCCCTGAAACCCAACTTGAATATCCATGTTAATGTTTGCATCCTCTGAGGGTTTCTAATAGTACTTCTTAAAAAATGACACATTCCATTTTATTTTCACATTATCTTTCTTCCTTAATGTGACTTCTCCCCTATTTCTCTCTATAGGGACCTTAAGGGTTGATTTCCAATGTCGAGTAATTTTACGTGCGTACGTGCGTAAAATTCGACGTTCGCAATAAAATAGATTAAATGCACGAAAGGTCGCTCGTAAGCTTAAAAGTTGAACCTCGTGTTATGTTCTCGGGCAAATAGACAACTGCACGCAAGATGGCGGATGAACTAAAGAACTGTATTAATCAAGAGCACATGGGTTTTATAGAAACCGCATACATACTGCGGGCTCAGTATGAATTACTGACACTATAACAAATGTAATGATACACTATAACACCTCCCCGCAGAAATGTTGTGCTTGACAAGAAATTAAAGTACAAGACAACTTTTGAAACTCTCTAAATGATCAAAAGTTCAAGAAATGAAACAAAACTATTAGAAGCACTGTTCAGTGTCATTAAGGCGAGACTTAATGGTTTTAGTCCATTTCTTCGATCAGTCTTTGGGGTGGTTTAGTAGCACGTTTGGACCGACGGGGAGCAGGGGTGGGAGGAGTAGGTGTGCTTGGCGACTCCACTGACTCTGATTCTTCAGGTGGGGGTGTACTGCTTTCGGTCCTGGGAGAAGTAACGCCCTCAGTAGATTGATCAGATGTAACTTCGACAGAACTGGATTGAGTCACAGCAGAACAAGGGATGTTTTGAAGTACATCGTCAATATGTCTCCTCCAATTCCGTCCATCTTTCAACTGGACTTGAAAGGAAGCAGATGATGTTTGCTGTATGACAGTACAAGCTTGCCACTTCTGTCACGATAGGTGGTCACGTGCGAGAGCATGGTCGCCTACAGCTATCTCCCTGTATTTTGCAAACTTGTCATGATTACACTTCATTTTGTCTTGCTGGCTGGCCACGCGAGAGCCAATATCAGGTGTAACCAGAGACAATCAAGTACGAAGTTCTCGCTGTAAGAATAGCTTGGCGGAGGATGAGCCGGTTGTAGCGTGTGGTGTCTTCTGTAAGATAAGAGGAAATTCTGAATCCGCCGCTGTATGGAGCTTGCTGGATCGTCAGCTGATGACTCCATTGCATACTTGAAAGTCTCTACAAACCGCTCAGCCAACCCATTTGAAGAGGGATGGTAAGCGGAAACTAAAATTCTCTGCCATTTTGCCGCAGGAACTCTTCATACTCTGCAGACTGGAAGGGTGGGCCATTGTCGCTGACTACTTGGGTTGGTAGACCGTATCTGGCAAAAATAATACGCATGGCATTAATTGTTGAGTCGGCTGTTGTTGTTTTCATGGGACCAATCACTTCAGGCCACTTAGAGTGGGCGTCGAGCATGATGAGGTAATGTTTTGCCTGATGGGTAGCAAAATCTACGTGAACACGTTGCTGGGGAGCTGTCGGCCAAGACCATGGAAGCCCTGCGGGTTTTGTTGCACCGTTGACATTCACGGGTAACCCTTTCAATCTCCTGATCTATTTTCGGCCACCAAACATGACTGCGGGCTATTGATTTCATGCGTGCAATATCAGGATGGCCTTCATGTAATTCTGTCAGGATGGTTTGCATTGTCTTAAAGAAGGAGTTATGACAGTTCACAGGCCCCACATAAGGCAGCCTTCTCCACAGAGTTCGTGTCTGCGTGTGAAGTATGGCTTGAGGTCAGGATCGGCGGAGCGATAAATAGGCCAACCATTCTGCGTACGCAACAGTGCTTTCGCTAACAAAGGGTTCCTACATGTATCCTTGGCGATTTCTGCGGCAGAAACTGGGTGTCGTTTTAACTGCTGAGAGGCCACGTGGAAGATTTCCTCTTCCACACTTGCATCTTTCCTGTACTGAAGTGGGAGCCTTGACAAGGCGTCAGCACTGGCTACTTTAGCAGATGACTTAAACTCAATTTCGTGGTGGTAGGAAGAGAGAAGAAAGGACCAGCGTTGCAGTCTAGCAGCAGCCAAAACTGGAGTCGCAGAATCCGGAGCAAATATTTCCCACAGAGGTTTGTGATCTGTTCGCAGAGTGAACTTGCGTCCGAAGAGATACATGTAAAGTTTGTTGACCTCAAAAATAATGGCAAGGCCTTCCTTCTCGATCCGACTGTAGTTTTTCTCAGACGAGTTCAAGGACCTGGAGGCATATGCGATAGGTCGCTCATCACCAATAGGGAAGCGGTGAAATATGACTGCTCCGATGCCATACTGGCTTGCATCGCTCTCAAGAATAACAGGAAGGCTTGGGTCATAAAGAACCAATACATTTGAAGATGAGAGTAAGTCCTTGGCCTTTTTGAATGCCTCCTCGCACCGGGGGGACCACTTGAATTCTTGGTTACCTTGGAGAAGCTGATTGAGTGGTTGGAGGATAGAGCTCAGGTTTCGGATAAACTTGCGGTGATAATTGATCATTCCAAGGAAGGCTCTCAGCTAGGTGGGGTTCTCAGGGTTGATGGCTTCTACCTTTCCCTCTGTAGGAGAAATTCCGCTGGCAGAGATGACACAGCCCATGTACGTAACTGATTTCTGCATGAATTTGCATTTGCTTAGCTGAGGTCGCAAGCCATAATGGTCTAGACGGCTAAGGACGCTGTCTAAGTTCTTAATGTGTTCATCGTCATCCTTGCCAGTAATAAGAATGTCATCTTGTATACTTGCCACATGATCAAAACCCTCAAGGATGATGTCCATAGTGCGCTGGAACAGAGCGAGTGAAGACGCAATTCCGAAGGGTAGCCTTTTGTAGCGTTAAAGACCTCTGTGCGTATTGATAGTAACGAACTGCTGTCTTTCAGGATCCAAAGGGAGCTGCACTCTTTAAGTCGAGCTTAGTGAAACGTTGTCCACCCCGCAGTTTCAAGAAGACATCCTCAGGGAGGGGAATTAGATACTGAGGGAAGTGAAGCTGAGGGTTGACAGTAACGGAATAATCACCACAAGAACGTGCAGCTCCATCTGCCTTGGGGACATGAACCATTGGGGTAGCCCATTCACTGATGAATTCCACCCGTTCGACAATTCCTTCTGACTCAAGACGGTTGTATTCAGCTTCAACAGCTTCCTGACGAGCATAGGG